TAAAATCTAAAAGTCTACTTGTGTAAACCGCTTGAGGATTTGTAGTATATGAAAGAGTAGGTCCAGTATATAATGATGATGATGATGTTAACTTTTCATTGATTTTATCTGATTCTTCAATTTGCTTATTGATTTCACGATCACTCTGATATTTACTACAACAATATAAATCCCATAATAAATTATATAATTCATTAGCTTTAGGTCGTTTTAAAGGATCAGTATCCCAACATTGTTTAATTATGTTTAAAATTAATTGAGGAATTTTGTAATTTGATTTTGGCCTAAGTCCTTGACAAATGCTAATAGCTAAGAATTTATCATGAGTAATATCATGATAAGGGGGAAGCCCTGTACAGACTTCATATGCAATAATTCCAAAACCATAAATATCGCTTTCTTGAGTGTATCCTTTTCCTCTTAAAACTTCTGGTGCTACATAGGGTAATACTCCATATAGTTCTTTACATTCATTTTGAGATGATTTTACATTTGCTGGTCGACATAATCCTAAATCAGTAATAAGAACAAAATCGCTATCTTTTAATATATTACCACAATGAAAATCACGATGAATTAACCCTTTTTTATGAATATTATTGAGGCCTCGTGCAATATCGTATAAAATATCCAACTTTTCATTCCATTCTGTTGAATTAAAACTATTATTTAAATGTTGTCTTAAACTACCATTTTGTACATATCCCATTACTATCATAAAATTTCTAGATTCTGGATCTTTAGTAATGCCATAACACCATGCTATACTAGAACTTATATATTCTGACAAAATCATATGTGTTTCAATCTAAAAAAGAATCCATAATAAAAATAATTAATAGATAGTTTAACATTTATAATAGGACAATATCTTGAAATTATATACAAAATAAGTAACTTACTTCTCTTAAAAAATCGGATGTAATATCTTGAGAATTATGTAAACATTTTAAAACAACTGGAAAATTCTCATATGTCTCACAATAAATTTTACTTCTTGTCCATTTATTATTCTCAAAATCCCAACTTCTTATATATCCATCTTTCCAAATTGCTTTATAAATAGTTCCAAATCCTCCTTTTGTCAAGTATTCAATATTTTCAAATCTATCATATTCAATCCATTCTAAAACTTCCAAAAAATATTTAGCTTTAAGTTGTGTTTTTTGAATAAACTTATCAACTTCATGATTTCCACTAGTCCAATTTTTGAAATTTTGTTGAAATTTACATTGACACCAAAGATAAGAAGCTCTAAGTTGCTTACATTCCTTGCATAAACCATTTTCTTTATAACGTTCTTTCAATTCTTCATTTAATATTAACTTATCAATTAACAAACTTTGTTCTTCAGTTAGGTCCTCATGGTCAAAATCTTTTATTTGCTCAAATACATCATCAGTGATCATAAATTCTTCCATATTGGATTAATAAATGTGACTTCAATTTTATGTTTAAACAGAATAAAAAAAAATTTTTTTTTTTTTTTTTAAAAAAAAAAAGGCATTAAAAAGTATTACAGTTGCACAGCAGCGATTGACAAATTTTATAAAGTGTTCAAGAAGTCAGCTGATGATCACAGAAATCACGGATCATTTAAGTAAGAAATTTCCTTTTTTATAAATCCCTGACTATAAAGCTTTGTCATCCAACACCAAAATATTATTCGTTAGTAAAATTATACTACAGTATAAAGGTACTTTATTGAAACTTTGAAAAATATAGTACAGTCAATCAATATCGTTATAAGTAACAACATGTATCGAAAATTATGATAATTAAAATCGCGTTAAAATTGTTAGATTAAAAAAATGTATTATCCAATTAGTTTAGTTTGTTTTAAATTCTATACAAAACTAAAAGAAATATTTTATAATTATTATTATATAAAGGAAATTCGTATTAACAAATGGAGTTCAGTTATAATATAATTCATCATTAAAGTAGTTAATAATTATAAAAAAAAATATTTCAATCTGCCTGTAAATAAAAAAATAATTATTATTATTATGACAAAACAATAAATTATTAAAATTTCCATCTATTTAACATCATTTTCTTAATAACATGAAATTTTTATTTTAAAACAATTTTGGTATTTTAATGACATACTAAATATTTTCTTAAAATTCAAAAATATAATAATTTAATAGCGTTAAAAAGTAGTTACGCTCAAAGATTACTGTAAAATATGACAGTAAGCTTTAACAACTAGATTTAAAGTTCTGAAAAAATAAAATTTAAAATATTAATTGAAGGATAAACTGATTAGTAATCAATTATTGCTAAAAAAAAAAGATAAAAATTCAGAGTTACTTCTGTGTCATATGCAGTTCCCTGACCGAACCTAAAGAAAAAAAAATGAAAAAAATGAATAATTATTTATCAAGCTCACTGCTCTAGTTATATTTGCGCTATATTATCATGACATAAAAAAATATATATGTCTTACATAAACATTTTCTTTATACTAGTAACTAGTAAGACAGTAGTAGTATTACGTTTTGGAAAACAAATAATATATAATTTTCTAACAAGCTAAATGATAAAGCAAGAGTAACTAGCAAATTATCGATTTTTGATATGATAAAAAAAAAGGTGCATAATAAATTATAAAAATTATTATGTATCATAAACTCATTTATTACAATTGATCCTAAATTTTAGGTAAATTATACTATAAACTATAAAATACTTTAAAAGTTAGTTATGGATAAAGCTTCTACCGTAATTATTTTAATGATGTTTTGAATTTCATTCATATAAATGATATTAACTTTTATATTTTTATACTTCGATTATACTGTAAGTGTAACAAAACATATAATCTGATTACATCGAATAGAAGCTATATTCTAACCAATTACTTATTCTAACCAATTACTGTGATCATAATAATTCCTTTCTTGTTGAGTTCATAATTGTTTGATCGGCTTTTTTGGTCAGGTTGCACTAATCTCATGATCAAAGCTCAATTTTGGTTTGATTGATAAACATTAGGAAACCAACAAGAGGTCATTTTCATGGGGGAGCTTGACATACTTTTGAAAGATCTTTTAAGTGGAAGTTATTGAAAATGACTTCAATTTAGTTATAAATATGCAAATTGTTGATCTTTCTTTTATAAACAAGCTTCGTTAAAATAAATAACTTTTTTAAAACTATCTTTTTCTTAAATAAAGAATAAACAAATGTTGTTTTTTATTTATAATGAGTAAATTAAGTATAGAGAAATGGCAGATTTTGGTTTATTATAAGTTAAAATAGTAAAATAGTAAAAATTTAGGGGAATTGATAAACATCGTGACAAATATGTCACATGATGTACGATATATAGAGTAAATTTATTTAATCGGATTTTTTTAACTTAGCTAATTTTTGATCGGCTAAACTTAAAATTTTATTGCAAAAGATATTTTTTAAAAATTTTTTTTGCAAACATATTTATTCAAAATAATCTTTATTTAATGAAATTTTATTTGCGAATATTAAAATTTAAGTCACACATTTATGATTTAAAAAAAATCACCATATTTATTTTTATTGAAGTGTACAAATAAAAGAAACAATAACAATAAATAAAAAAGATAAGTAAATTACATTGATTAACAATAAATAAAAAAGATAAGTAAATTACATTGATAAGGAGAAAGATGCTAATAAAAAATGAAATAACAATGGAGTAATGGAAAGTAATAAAAGATGAAAGGGAGTAAAAAGAGTAGTGAGAAGGAGAAATAGGATATGATGGTAGATAAAGAGGAGTGATGGGAGATGAAAAGAAGTGATGAGAAGATGATGAGGAGTGATGAGAAGTGATGGGAAGATGAAGAGGAGTGATGGAATACAAAAGGAGTGATGGGAGACGAAATGGAGTGATGGAAGACGAAAAGAAGTGATGGGAAGACAAAAAGGAGTAACAGGAGACGAAAAAGAGTGATGAGAAGATGAAGAGGAGTGGGGAGAAGACGAAAAGGAGTGACTAATCATTATAGTCTAGACATTCCAGGCTTCAAAATTATCATCATACTTATCGCCACTAATTAATACTTTGTTATACATAGATATAATGTAGCATGAAGTTATTTTTTATTTTTTATTTTTTTTTTTTGTTGTATCACTAAAAGTAGAAAAACATGGGTATAAGAACTGCTGTATTAAATAAATATTAGTTTATCAAAGAAAAAAAATTTTATATTAACCGAAAAAAGAAAAGTTTAAAAAAATATCGGAAAAAAAAAATTTTGAAAGTTTGGATACTTGCGGTGATAGCCGATTCGAGCGAGCCAGAAATAAAAATTCATATAACAAATAAAATAAACTATATGTTTGTTTATACAATATACATTACTATAAATAAAGAAATTTTCGTGATATTTCTTCGAAAAATGATTTTTTTTATAATTTAAAAATTTTTTATCATATGATTTTTAACATAGTAGGAATAGTTTCTGGCGCTAGTTCCTTACGAGGTTATTAATTATTAAATACGTGAGATTATTTCACTATATAGATAAATATATTATAGGTAATTTTAGAACCTTCATTATTTCTAAGCACTATACGTCTATCCCTTTTGTTAAAAAAAATGTAAAGATATTAACACAATTACCTTTTTTTTAAATATCATTTATTATCGAAAGGACGATGATGATCACAGTCATGCAAACTTATTCAGAGTTTAAATTTTACGTAAATCAGAATTGATAACTGATATCCTTTTTATTGACTTCTAATTTGAGGTTCCGTATAAATTGATTTTTTCTAAGATTACATTTAATACAAGTAGAAAATAAATATCGTTAAAATCTATTTGCGGATTTACAATAATTAAAATATTTCCCATTCGGGATTTTGACATTCGGGATTTTGTACGGATCCCATTTCATTTCGGTTCCTATTTCATATTTATAATACATAAATAATCAAATTTATTTAATTCTCATATTTACTATATAAAAAAAAAGTATTCATAAAAATAAAATAAGCTACAATAAATTTTACAATAATAATTTCTCCAATTTTTCTAGTTTAAGTTGAAATTTTTTAACTTCAATTTCTAACGTATTTTTGACTTCATAAATTTCTTCAAATTCATTAGTTGAACTTTTGCCTTCATTTCTTTTTAAATATTCAATATTATCGCTAAAGTCATTACTTACATTTTTAAAAACTTCAATAATTTTAATAGTTTTATTATTCCAATATTTCAGAATTGAAAATATATCATAATCCATTTCCTTGTAAATACGTCTTGTAAATATAGATATTTCTTCAAAACCTTCATAAATAGCGCTCTTATCGTCAACATTTCTTGTATTATACCATTCTTCAAAATATTTAGCTTGACAAAAGTAACAAATATAATTCAGTTCAGGCTCAGGATTTCGAAAATTAATATGATACAATGCTTCATAATCTGCTATGTAATTTGCTCGATTTCTTAATAAAGTTTGTTTATCATTAGCTTCTGCTTTTTCATATGCACCACTAAAAATGCAAGCAAATAAAGAAAATGAATATTAAATTAGCTGTTCTTACTAAAGTAGTAAATAAAAGTCTTACCTCATAAAAGCAATTAAGATATTTTTTAAAACAATTACAAGGAATAAACTAGCAATAAAAGTATATACACCAATAACCCAGAAATCAAATTCATCCCTTTGAACCCAATCACCATTAATCCAAAAATATGTAGCCTCTATTGCTGTAAAAAAAGATGTAAACGGATTATCACTAGATGTGGGATCAAAATCTGATTTAAGTTCAATGTCAAGTGTTTCATTTGTTAAAGAATTTGTGGCTTTTCCACTATATGTAGAGTCTTTAGTTTTAATATTCGTGGGTTCTCTGAGTAATACGAACCTACATTAATAAAATAATAACAGATAATCATAACTGATGATTAAATTTAAAACGAAAATAAAACAATATTGAGCTTTCATACATTGTATGTGCAAATCCAAGTATCACAATTAACATAAACCAAAAGTATGGAGCATCTTTCAGCCACGTGATGATATTTTTGCATGTGATTTTTGATGTTACACGTAAATTTCCTATTACGCTTTTAATTAAATTTATTTTATGATAAACTTTGTTCTCATATAATTGAATAGTCGGAGCATGTTTTCTGTAATATTAAATATAAATATCATTAAAACAAAAAAAGATATAATAAATTGAATCGGTGAAAAATTTTGATTCGTTAGTCATTTGTAATCGACCCAACAATGGTTTCTGGGATTATTTTTTAATATTTAAACATTACATTAAGAAAAAAAACAATTCTTTTTATTATAATATATTTAAATCTTATCAAAATATATATTAATTATCTTGATTTTAATAGAAGATTAAATGATATTTCAATAAACGTGATGTCTATCAAAATGAGCTTTTCGAAAAGAATCACATTTTCTTGAGTGGTTCTTATCATTTTGTAATTAAGGAATGATAAAAAATTAATCTACTGCTTTTATTATCAAGCCCCTTAAAATAAAAAAAATGTACACTTTCTGCTTTATGTAAATTGAAACGTGGTTACAAATATGCAATAGAATTTTTGTAAGCAAATAAAAGTTATTCACCAAATGATAATTACGAAATATAATCTTATAACTATGACGCTAACGTTTATAATTATCAATAATTGGGATATTGAATTTTTACTTTTATTGAACATTCCTTGAAAACTCAAACCATTTTTATTGATTATTATAAGATAAGCATATTGATGCTGATACTAAAGCCTTGTATGATGGTACTCAGTTATGGAAAGAATCTATTTGAAATTATGTTGATGGATTTATAAAAATTATGATAACATTAAATAAATTTACTAAAATAAAGTTATAAAATTTTATATTTAATAGATTAGATTATATTTATTATATTTTAATAGATAAAATTTAAATTACAGTATTGGGTGCAACTATGACAAATAAACTATGTGCTGTTCAATTATTACTTGTGCAGCACAGCCAGAATTATATAGTACTGCTCAGCCAAAAACATATACTCACATGCTGCACAGCCAAAATCATATACTCTCATATGTTGCACAGCCAAAATCATATATACTTATATATTGCACAGCCAAACTACACACTACACAGCCTTAATGGATATTTTACTATATAATCATATTGAGTTTTACCAAGCATTACACTTTTTACAATAAATTAGACATATTTCTCACATGTAAGATCAATTATGAAGGCTTTCAAAGATAACTTTTTCAATATTTCTGCAAATCAATTCTCAAAATATTTCACCTGATTTTTACTTAATCCAATCATAGTCATACTAATTCCATTGGTTATATTCAGTTCTTATTAAATCTCCAATCTGTTTTGTGACATATTGAAAATATTAAAGAAGAAATAATATAAATTTTCCAGTATGGATATATCATGTAATGTCAAGCATTCCTCTTTGCATTTCCAATATTTATAAATATCATAAGAAGCTTTATTCCTATGCTCGATCGTAGGTATTTCTTCAAATGAGCATTGTATTTTTATATGTTTAGCTCGACTATAATGGATAGAAGTTTGAAGATGTTTTCATAATTTTTAATATATTTAAATACTATATAAAATATAGAATATCTTTCATTTTATAATGCAAATATTTACATAACACTACATTGTAGTTGGAATCAAATAAGCTATTTCGAAAGACACTAAATATAATATATTCATAGACTTCAATACAACATTTTGTAAACGACAATATCACTTCCTGCTGAACATCTTCTAATATAATATCAACAATTTCAATTATGAAGATGTTTCAGTAAAAGATTTATTAATTGAATGTTCAAAGTTTGTTGCACATGCACGTAGAATATCATTTAGAATTATAGAACATCCATTCTTTATAAATATTATAAAAGACCTTAATGGAGATTTACAGATGTCTTAAATTATATCATCCTATTATATACTGAAAAGGAATTTTAATTTCTAAAGGATCAACTTTACTACATACTGATTTCTGGGAATAGACAGAATGTAGATATGCATAGTATACATCATATTATTCATATAATTTCGACTCTTTCACAGTAAACTCTTTAATTTTATGATACAAAATTGGATAAAAGTGCTTGAAAAGGATGATTTAACTATACAAGCATATGCAAAGTAGAAGTAGTCAGCAAGATGCATATTTTTATCAATGTATATGACAATTATAAGGGGTCAAGAAAAACAAGAGTTCACAAATAAATATGATGCTACAGCTTCTCAATGACTAGAAATTCTTATTGACAAAAATGATAAATTATATTAATTAGTGACAATAAATAAAGGTAGTTACAGAATTCTATCACAAAAAAACTGAAATCCCAAAAATAGATGTGTTGTATATACAAATACCATGGTTTAGTATTTTTATGAAACTTTTTTCTTATTTGAAACAACTCCTACTCAATTAATACTTTGGAAATGATGAATCTTCCATTTTCATTTTCATGGTTGTCAGTTATTAGGGGCTAATACTGCAACATTATTTTAATATACGAATAAGGTTGAATTTAGATTACATTAATTACCTAATATGGTTTATTTAAAACAACCTATAAATAAATATTTTATATTGAATGATGTCATGGTAGTATATTTGAAAATTTTATCATGTTTAAATGTTGGATGATCATGTGAAATTTATTAATAGAACTTTAGGCTTTTGAGTTGGTTCACAGGATAATATAGAAAAAAGGGCAATGTTTAGAGAATATTGAATAAATCAATTAATCATATTTTCAGACACTAGCTTTTTATGGAACCAGGCACTCCGTAATGAAAAAGATATTTATAGAATGCTTTCTGATTGCATAAATTAGCACAATGTTGAAGGCTTCATCCTAAAGTATTAGTGAATGAGCTTGAAATTTCATACCTGATCATATTTGTAACTAATGTTTCTGGAAAAACTGTTATTACTTAATTAAATAATCTACCTATATCTGTAGTATTTAAAGCTTCTAAATAATTGCTTACTGATGCTGAAAATTTAAAGAACTCTTTATAGTATATATAGATTTTCAACAGTCTTAAGGCATTAACTGATTATAGCTTTTGGAAAATTTATGTTAGATTAGATATTCAAAGTCTATTTCTCTTTGAGAAACTAAAATGGTCTATTCCAGTAAAAGGGTTTATATATGACAATTGTAATTTACAATTAAAAAAATAAAAACATGCTACTACAGTGGAGGAAGGAGAATACCATTCCTTATATAATTGTAATTCTAGATTTGCTATTGATGATTTAATGCAGCCAACTACGCAAGGAGTTGTCTGATGCCCAAGAACATGCTCTAACAAGCCCGGACCTTGATGAGAATGAAAATGAAAGCCTCTGGATAAGATAGAATGTTTGATCTCCAGATTATCAATAATTGTGCCAATGCTAAGGTTTTCTATAAAATAATAAAGTATTCCCTACTTTAAAATTTTACCATGATCCTGCCTGTTTGGTAAAAATGTAGAAGTTACAACTTAGAAATCAAAATAATTCTAAAGATTCACACACTAATCAAACAATATGCAATGAATGCTTAATACACCAGATCATTTATAGTTTGAAAAATCAAATAATACAGTTTAATGGGAACTTATTTTTTCTCATATATCCCATTATTAATATAACATTGTTTTTTATAAAAACATTTAAAAAATCAAATACATTTATTACAATGACCATGAAAATAAGAAAAAGAAATTAACAGATTATTGGAGGGTTTATTAATTATCCTTACTTTTTGATTTTCAATAACAATTTTTTATAACTAAAACCAGGAACCATAGAGGGATTAAGTATATGGACTTTTCAGTATGAATGGTAGATAATTATTGTTTACAATTTTAATATATATGATTATTAAATTATGTATCTTAATAATATAATATATTATACAGGAATCAAATTTGTTGTTATCAACTGGTCATTAGAAATATCAAAACAATGTGAAATTCATTTGGATAAAAATTAAGCTTGGAAACAACAAAAAAATAGCTGAGAGCTTTAAAGTATTCAAATGAATGGCTTACTGACAATTTTCAACCTCTTTCCAAACCTAGTACCAAGATGAACAAGCTCAAGCATAAAATTTGTTCTGAGTGCAATGAACATTTCTCTTTAATTACACTCATCTTAGAAATTGTCTTCGCTGATACAGTGATAGAAATGAGGTAAAAAAATTCTCAACCACAAATAATATGGAGCTGGGTAATGTACCTAAAGAAAACTAAAAAGGGTTTCTAATACCATTATTGTGAAGAACACAAGAAGTCAATAATACAATAATAATAATATCATTTCTATGTTAAAAAAGATTAAAAAGAATTTAAATTTTAAGGAATAGAGAATGCAATCCTATTCAAATTATCTATTCATTCATCTGATTAATGGATAACAGTCCAGAATTCCAGATCTATTGAAACTCCATTGTACAAAAATTATTAAAGATTAAATTTTTCATTAAAAGAGAATCTGAAATGGAAGAAATCACACTTTTTTTTTAATTATAATTTAGATAATACAAGTAGCAATAGTAGTGATGATTATATACTGGTATGAAAGTTTAAGAAAAATTTCACACCATTACTTATGAAGATATAGTGTTGAATCCTTAGAATTCATCATCAAAAGATATCATCAATAAAATCTTCAAGAGTTAGAGTAAATAAACGCGACAGGCTTTAATATTTCCCATTTTCCTAGTTTATTTGAAGTATCAGAAAGAGAGTTGTTAGAAAAAAATACAGAAAATGTAACAGTTGCTGAAAGAGTCAAAACAGGCTTTATAAGTGCCAAAAAAAATGGTAACATAAGAGAAATCAGTCAGTATTGTTTTGTATGATAAGAAGCAATTCAAGTCTTAATTTTATATATACTAATAGAGGATTATTAGATTATTGAATTATTAAAAATGAATGAATGAAGACATGAAGTAATTTCGAGATTTATTT